TTATTTGAATGCTTCTTTTCCCTGTCTCAACTTTAAAGTTGCGACAGGAAGGAAGCATAGGAACTCATGATATAATCTGTTTATAGAACATACAGTCAGGAAGGGTCTGCATACGTTCTTACTGCTTTCTAACTGTTGGGTGTCTGGTACTTTTAATAACAGAAATACATGTGTATTACAGAGAAAATAAATCGATAATAACTCAAGTATATGCCCAGCCACAAATTTCCAGTTGTATTATACCTTTCTCAACAAGCATATGTGCAAGTGACTTGAAGCAGGGAGTATCTACTGCTCTACTTAAATAGGAAGATGTGAGAAGGGGTGTATTAGAACAGGATGAAATAGAAGGTAGCCTAAAGCTGGTAAGGAAACACAAAGTTGCAAGCTGTTGCATTGCCATATGCCAGTATTATGAAGCTGGAGGTAGCTGGCACACTATGGAATTGTGCTGTGACATAACGTAGGCTTAATATTTGTGTTCTGTGGCTGATATCCTTCCATGTTACCAACTTTGGGGTGTGTGAGATCTAGAAGACAAGACAGTAGAGTGAGAGGAGACCTATGGTCCTGATCTTTTTACAGAGGCTAGGGTGGAGAAAGGCAGGATGAAGAAAGCATGTGCCCTAAGGTGGCGGGCTGTTCCTTCTATTTCATTTTTCTTGAGTGGTGGCTGAGCATGCTCTTTGGTACTAAGTGTTCCATTGCATGCGGAGAGAGAGATTTAATGATTTCAATGTGATTAGGAAGATAAATTAGGCTGCTGATGGGACTTGTCTCTACTGTTGCAGCTTCTGGCTTTTATCTAGAAGAAGGGCAAAAGGATACAGAGATGTTTGGGATGTCCAGGGAAAATTACTGTGAGGAGTTCTGTGGACTGGGATGACCTCTTGAGGAGGTAAAGACAGAGCTACAGTACTTAGAATTGAACCATGTGGAGTGGCTGAAGGAGCAGCAGCAAAGAAAGCAAGGAGGTGAAGGGAAAGGATGAAAGTGTTTTGGGAGTCTAGGTAATAAAGAAAAACTGTGGGAGGGGAAGTCAGTGCAACATGGAGCATAATATGAGTTTCCTTGTTTCACGCGTGAAGGTGGGAGGAATTTTTCATTTGTCCTAACCTGTTGCAAAGATTAAAACTTTCTAGCATAGAACTTGGAAAATTTGCATCCATAACACAGATAAAAATCTCTTACATCAGTACCTCTAGAACCCAGCCCAGGCAGCTGTTTTCCAACACAGACACATGCTTCGACATACAGAGTGAATGCACCCTCCCTCCTATGTGTACGCTAAAGCCTGCAAGAGAAGTGAAGTGTGGTTTGTTTGGTTTTTTTTTCCATTTACCTTGAGATCTGCTGGAGCAGGTTTCCTTCTGAGAGCATCATATAACCATGAATTAAATTGCTCATTCAAAAGACAGTATATCTGCTAGATCAATTAACCTGCCTTTATTTATTTATTTTGCATTTTCTGTGTTTCTGGCAGAAACTTGTAAAACAAAACATATGCATGTGTAATAATTTACTATAAACCCTACAATTGTATTTCCAATATAGTAGTTGTTTCTTATGTTACTGGAGAAACTGTGTATAGTCTGGTTTATAAGCCTGGGAAATATGCAGAAAAATGCAGCGCTTGCATCTACTTTTATTCATAATCTTTTTTTATTCTATTCCTCTCCTATGCTAAGTTATATGGCAGGCTTCTGTGTATTGCAGCAAGATTTTTGTGGCCCCGACATATCACTGGCAAAGGACTGCTTAGAGTTTCATCTCAGTTAGAAATGGAGGCTTTTAACTAATTACTAGAAGGAATGAAGCATGATCAATACTACTAGACTTTGTTTTCCAGAGTAAGGGAGGGCAGCCTGTTGCCCAGAGGCTATCTTCAAAGCGGTTTGCAATGTGCCTAAAAAGAATTTGCTGAAGATGCCTGTGCATGGTAATTGTCATGACATGTGCCTGCTTTGTTATCACATTCTCTGCTTCATTAGATTTGTTAGGTTGGAGCTGCACCTGAATATGAAGAGGGAGTGATTTTGCCCAAGCCTGTTTTGCTTGCAAATAGTTGTGCCACTGAAATGTGTTGCTACCCCTTTGCTATCTTCTAGAGATTATCACTTACTCTAGTGGAGTACTCCATGTGAGTTCTCCCTATTCTGCTTCAAGCAAAAGGTTATACTTTTCAAATTGGTGGCATCATCTTATCCAGCTGTTTTTTGCTTAAGTAGCTTAGGATTCCTTTAATGGAGCTGCTGTGTTAGTAGGTTCACAATATGACAGACTCTCTCCGAGGGAGGGAGGAAGAGAGGAGGACAGCAGTGTCATCCACCCACTCAACAGGCTGTGTGTCCACACTGCCGACGAGGCGCTTCTGCCAAACTTATCAGTTCACTACTGAAGTGTTTGCGTCATCAATTATGAATTTAAAAGACAACAAAAACCTCACAGAAAGCTACTGATTAAGGTGGTTTTGAGCTGCTGCTCAACAAGTGAATTGCTTCAGATGACAAATACACCTAATTCACTTTTTCAAGGTTATAAATTCTTTAGGATAACCTCTGCTGAAAAGGTATTAAAAGTAGAGACTTTTGCTAAATGCAGCTGCTGCGATCTCATGCAGCTGATGCTCTTGGGGGGACAGATCAAAACTTTGGCTTAGGGGATTGGGAGTGCCTTCATTTTTAAGCCTTGAGTTGATATTTAATAAAATATAAAGCCAACAGCTTCCCTTAGTTGTAGAAGAACTTGGTTCTAACATTCATCATGGGTGTTTGGTAAATGGGTGGAGCCCATGGCAGGTGAAGGCTAATCTCTGAGTCAGCAGCTGGCTCACCTCATAACCCCACTCTTACAAACCCCTTAAGACAGAACGTCAAGTGTAGAAGGCATACATAGTGCCATACCGTAGCAGGTGTCAAGTGGACTCCAGTGAATCACACTTACAGTTTGAATTCTCTAATGACTTCCAGTCACTTAGCTGAGGTTTCTTCTGCTAGCTAATAAGCTTGATGAGGATAGCTCTTGATCCAGCAGCAGCAGTAGTGAATCGTTACTTCAGGGAGGAGTGGAACGTGTGTGCACTGGTGCACTTTTTTTTTTGCTGCCTGCCATGTGCCGGGATTAGGACTTGTGCGGTGAGCCAGATCGGGAAGTTGATCCAGCTGGGACCTGATCTGAGAAAAATCAGTTGTGAGGGCCATTGACTGCTGCACAAAGAAGGACTCTTCCTGTTGCTGGGACCACCTGCCGTTACCTCAGCTTAGAATGGCTAGGGCTACGGATTCCACAGGCAACCGAGCAGAGACTTGAAGAAATGTTGGTGGCTACTATTGTTAAAGCAAGAGGTCGTAATATTGTTTACTATTGAGTAAAATTGTCCTCTTCTAGCAAAACTGGAAAACTAGGAATAAATTAGAATTGCTAGGTATTTTGATAGCCACTGAAGCGGGTGATAGTAAGTTCCTAATTTTTTTTTTAAAATAGGTGCATTTTTAATCTCCAGTGAGGTTGTTGACAATGTAATTTTCTTCACTTTAAGAAAAATGTATACATGGAGTTAGCCAACACGTTGTTGGCATCTTCTTTTTGCACACATGCACACAGAGCCCAGAGGAAAATACCATCCTCTGATCCTCTGAAGGGAATTTCAGGTACTTCTCTACTTGGATCTGGTCTGTGGTATCATGTGGGTATTGTTTTCCCACCACCTTCCTCCCTTGCTAGCTGTCTTTGGGCAGCTGTCTACTTTGTGTAGGTGGCCTTGCTTTACAGGTGTAGAGTTGATTTCTTTCACCTTCTTGTTGGGGCTTAGCAAAAATAATTATCCTGAAGAACACTCAAACAAGTAGAAGCTTGTTGCTGCCACTGGGATTTTACAGCTCATAAGTTGTCAATGTCTAGAAGTAATGATTTCTAATAATGTGGCATCAGAGGCTAGGTGCACTTGGGCTTGACATGTTAAACCATAACTTTAGAGGTCACACTTCTAGATCTTTCTCCCTTCCCGTTACTTTGTAGTGAGGTTGGATTGAGATAAATGACTTGTCTGCTCCTGCTTGGTTTGTTATGTAATGTGTGAGTGACGTAGCAAAATAACTCTGAAAGGATTTGAAAGTCTCTCTTCTAATACTTTACATGTGTTTTTTTCTTCTTAAAAGCACATATTCATTTGGAAATCACAACAGTTGTCAGCAGAGTCTTGGTTCCGTGAAACACGCAAGCCCACCATTTGGCAAGATTGTGGGCAGAAAAAATTGGGATTTTGGGGAAACCTGTGTAGTGACCTCCTTAATTTATGTAGGTTCTAGATGAAGGTGTTATGTCCAGAGTAGGCAAGAATGATGAAAACAAACCCATTTCAGCACATTGGTAGAGGTAAGTGTATAGACCTTAACTTGCAGCAGTATAAGCAATCTCCCAACTCATCTGGAGGTGAGTGAGGGCAGGCAGTTCCTTGCATAGGGA